ACACATATTATCGCATATTTTATTTATTAGCACATACATATTTTGAGATTTACCACCACATATTTCTGGACACCCTAATATACAAGCAATATTTTTGCTATCATTTCCAAACTAGTAATTATTAGAACACGGAAATATTCAATTTATTAAATGTTACACGATCACCAATAATAATAAAATAATTAACTCACGGAAAATATCAAATAAATATTCTAACATTCTAAAATGTAACAGACCTTTAATTCTTAAGTTCTATTTAATATAAAAGACTTGTTCATACTAGAAATAACTTGAATATAATTCTACACGGAAAGTACAAATTATAAATAAGGATATATTTAATTAGAACGGATTAGGAATTCTATAAATCAGAGAACTAGACGATTGAACCTTTAACATGTACAAATAGTCTTGTAATTTTCTCAACCTTATGTATTATCTTTAACTTCATGTATAAGATTCATTATCCTATTATCTTCATCTCTATCTTTATCTTTATCCTAATATATTATCTTATAATCTTATAACATAAATAACTCTTGAAATAAAACATAATTTAACCATAAATATTGTAACTAAAGTCTTCACGGTATTAAGTGTGATTCTTTGACTAACCCAACCTAATTAATTAACATCAGGAACTTAAATTATAAAATTGCATCGCGATGTAAAACGGGTACCATTGCACAACCTTATTTCAAGATGGCAGCCAACACTGCACAATGCATTGTTACATTTTGATGTACATCTTGATTTTTTATAACATTTCGCATCGAATTTTATTGTATTAAAAGTCAATAAAAAATATATATGTAAATTCAATTTGAAAAAATTACATTTTTTTATTAATTATATAAATGAACAGAAGAGACCGTCCTGGCAGCACAAAATTTTAACCCATGCAATTATTGATTGACCAATCAAAATCATGAATTTGATAATGTAAAAATAAATGTTGATTTGATTCATTTTGTAACAATCACTTCACCAACAATTGTTTCGTTAACAAATAACAAATAGTTCGAATTTAAGAAGCTGGAAGCAACCATACGACAAACCTTTGAAATAGTCTAATAAATTAAATTGTACACTCGAAAATGTATTTAAAGGGTTGGTTTTCGACTTGGTTGAAGAATAACTCTCTTCTCAACTCTTCTCTTGACCATATCTCTCGATATAATAAAAATAACCTTAATATAATGAATGTCTACAAAATGATTGTAAACACAACCATTATTTAAGATATACATACGATTAAGACAAAACATGAATGATGTATGAAAAAATCAAATTTATTTAATAAAAACAAAATTTACCAAAAAAAAGTTTTTTTTTGCATGTTCTAATAAAATTTCCATTGTTGCTGCACCATCTATTGCTGATGCGACGTTATCTGGATCATCAGCAACTGTATTTTCAATATTTTCGATATTTTCAATAAACTCATTTTTGTTTAATCTTTTCGTCGTACTTTCTTTTAGTGCGTTGAGATTTTTTTTGATTTCGACTTGAAGATATCAAAATTTAGATAGGCACCTTTCTAGACAATGATTGTGATAACCATGTCCACACACAAGTACACTACAATTATTCAAATTAGTATAGTTAGTGTAATCACAATATATGTAATTGCAAAAAATGTTTGTAGATGGTTTCTTATAAGTAACAAAGCCTTTGAAAGGTGACAATCAGTTATTTCGTAAACTAAAGAAGGTAATTTGTATGAGTTAATACCATTAGATGAAGTTTTAGTAACCATAGGATACTGATTTCGTGCTTGATATATCTTCGTAAACACATCTAAAAGCAATACAGCACTTTCGGGAAGCATATGCAATTGCTTCGGTGTATATGGATATTTCATAGAATCTATGAAATGTTGTCGAAAAGTATTATCCTTTCGATGCAGAAAAATAAAACGTGCCTCCTTTTTTAGTTGTTGCGCAGTGAAAAACAGCCGTACGTCATCAAATAATGCTGTGAATGATTTCTACAGAATTATCACTTAAAGAGGCGAAATAATTAGTAACCATATCAATCATTCATTGGATGATTTGTCTCCATCCAATAAAAGACATCAGAAAAAAAATTAAAGATGTACACTTATGATTTCTTTGATCAAGCCGAAGAAAAAGATCACTCCAGCAACGCATACAAGATTCCTCATAAGCCAGCCAGTTAAGTAAAAAATTATAGATTTTCTTTACCTTTTCGTTATGAATCTCTTGATTATTTCCTGATAAATAAAGATTAAAAAAGTTTACATATAAATTAAAATATTAAAAAAATTACCTGAAAATTTTTTTGAATTATCATTTACTTCATGTAAAGCAATATCTAGATGTTTTTTTTATTTGTCTTTAATATATAATTTACTGTATAATGAAACAAAATCAAGGAAATCGTGGAAATCGCGGAAATCGTAGGAGCCGTGGAGGTCATGGAATTCATGGAAGTCGCGAAATTCATGAAGTTATAGCAGTTGGTAGAAGTCGTGGTAAAAGTCATGGAAATAATGAAGATACCGATTCTGTTCAAGGTGACCACGCTTCATTTTTCTCAGAAATAATTTTACAAGATCAATGTGAAAAAGAATGTAAAAAAATCAAGGAGAATTTTAGCTTGAAATGAATAGAAAAAAAGGTTTAAAAAAAAAGTTTAAAATTTTTAAAAAGAATTTAATGTACAGTATATTAAACTTTAAACTTCCTATTAATCGATATTTAAAATTGTGCAACTCAATTTAAAAGTAGTACAATAGAATATAGCTGATAAACGCAAATCAACGCGATGTAAACTTAATTTTTAAGTTCCTGATGAATTTAATTAATTACTATCTTACCAGGGGGACGCCTTTGCTAAGTATAGTTGTACATATTTATATATTATTTTTATTGATTTAACGAATAAACCAGTAGGACTGGGTAAAACTATTTGGAATGGTTAAAAGTATAGAATAGGCCAAACGGGACTGGCTGAACTATTCTAAATAATTCCTGAAGGTATAAACATAAACTAATTATTAAAAGATTGCAATCGGAAATTGAAACGTACCTGACTTGGTAAAACAAGGATTAACAGCTAGGGAGGGCACCCGCCAAAAAACGTTATCAGGAAGACACAGAGTGTCAAAATTATCCTAACGAACTTGGATTTAGAACGTGCCTGACTCAGACAGGTAGAAAATAACTACTGTTGAGAAACTCGTTATCAGGAGGCAATAAGTGCCGTGGTTAATAAACCAAATATAGAGAAAAGTAAATTGATATAGAAATTGAAGTATTTCGTATAATAAAATACATTGAAACCGTGAGATTTGGACACGATCTCACAGTGCATAATTCATAGTGTGTACATGTCGCATGTAAAATAACAAATCGATTGCTGCGAAACAATTACACTATTACTATTAATTTCATTTACAATAAATCTATTATCACTTAATCATCCTATAATATTACGCCTAATAAAAATATAGATTTATTAAATTTCAAATATCTTCTTTGACGTCTTTGATGGTGATGCCTCAGTTGGTAATTCTTTTGTTTGAATATATGTTCTACTTGGATTCTGTATGATCGCTCGCATTTTTGTATAGTATTCCATAATACGAATCTTTGATATCAAAAATAGATCTTAAGAATATTGTAGATCAGAAAATGCATCTAGAAATTGACATAATCCATACCTTGAAGAAATAAATCTTTTCAATAAGTTCTTTGATCATGTAGAAATCATTTTTGATCTCAGGAATAGAGAATTGCATAAGTATATCAACAATGTATATTCCTTCTGGTATGCGATGCATTGTATAAATGGTAATTACACGTTCTAAAATAATAGAAATAAAGGAGTAAGATCATAAAAATCACATTTAGTCACCTGATTATCATCACTTACGATATACTACAATTCCGTAACTTTCTATGCATTTGATTTTATCTTCAGTGGCTCCACGTTGAAGGAAATATAGTCTCTGATAGAACATGGAGATTTGCATTGCTATAGAATAAATTTACATTAATAATGTATTAAAATTACAACCATCTCAACATGAATGAATAAACTCACAGACCTTTGAAGACTTTTTCAGTGTCCTCACCTAGTTTTTTAAAGTCAATTTCAATTGCACTACCAACAACTTCCATGAAACCAATCTCCAAGTCCGTCGCATTTAAACTGACTTCAATGATACCATCTTGGTTATAACCAAGGCGGATACGAGATTTTTGTTGTTCAGTTTCATTTCTTTGTTTCTTTGTTAACATATTCTCAATTTCGCCACTAAGTATAAAGGATAAATAGACATTAATATTAGAGTTCAATGAAAAATCAGCATTTTGCAGTGAAATGTGGAACCCACGTTCTGAATCGAATGGTATCTAAATCATCAAATGCTCGTGCTAATATTGGTGAAATAAAATCTTCACGATAAGAGAACTCTGACTGCTTGGAATCCGTGAGTTTATTTAATGGCGCCTTGAAATTGAGTATGCTGAAATGAAAGCAGACAATACTGATTAAACCGGTTGGGCAAATAACAACAACTATTCAACAAGTACATACAATCGCTTATACAAATCTTGTACCCATAAAAGAATGTAATGCTGTTTGTAGTTGAAGACACCATTGTATGGCTTCTCCATAACAATGTCAAGATTCATCAGAACATCATCAAACATTGATTTAGGCTCAATGAAAGCCCCACCATAAGTGTTCAAAAGAGGTTTTATAATCTCTTCCCATTTGGGGTCATATGTATTAAATTGACATGATTCTTCAGACTAAAAATAAGGTTAATATAATATCCTGGATTTTCATGAAACTGTAAAAAATATACATACAGTATCCCAGAAATCTTTTAACAATTCTTTTTCACTGGTTGTGAAGATTTTATTCACTGGGTTTGCTGCATTTCGGTCAGAAAGATCAATGATTCGATATTCAAACAACCGATGTGTGGAATTCTTTACTTTATTTATAATCTCACGTAATTCATTTGTGGTGGTATGAGTGGACTGTGAAAATAGAGTATTAAGTCAATTAAGTCATCAAGAAAAATAAAATAGTATTAGATATAGCAGATACCTCTTGAATCATTTGAGTTTTTAAATATTCACACTCTGCAATTTCGTTGTACTCTTCATCAACAACAATGTCAGGGGAATTGTGTAATGACTGATGCAATTCAAGAATACAAAAGATGATGAATACAAGTTTACTTGAATAGTTAGTTATTAATGTATCATTACCTTCTTTGATGGTGGCTGTATTTGATTATCATGATTATTATTATCATCAAACGCTCGTTTGTTCCTCATTTCAGATTTCACAGATGCAATTGTAGAAACGATATTCTCTAAGTTTGAAAGAGCACCTTTGTTTAATTGTGTTGCAGTGTGTACAATTCCATTCACCTAATATGAATATAAATTATAGGATACTGAAATGGAAAGATTATTCAAATCACAATAAACCACATATTATAAGACCTACCTGAACTTCTGTCATTTCTGCCTGAGCCTGCATAAGATCCAATTTGTATTGTTCTTCAAGTAACTTGCTCTTCATGTTAATATTTTCCTTCTGTTCATGCATCTCCCAGAAGATTTTTATTTGCTTCGTCTTTTTAGCACTCTTGTATAAAAAAGGTAGTAAATTAATGAAATATATTCATCGTCATGTATAGTAGAAAATAGGAAAAACCGCAGACGAACAAGCAGTCTTTCCCTTACGAACAAGCAGATCGAAAGGTAGTCCACGAGGACCATTCTGGACCAACAAGCAGTTTTTTTCCTTTACGAACAAGCAGATCGCAAAGTAAGTCCATTAAACTATATGCACGACACACCATTGGAAGATGTGCACACCAACAAACAAGCAGTCTTTCCCAATACTAACAAACAGATAGTATGGTAGTTGGTGAGGCACAAGAGTTGAACGGACCTTTGAAGTGAACAAATAAAATACAGGTAAATATAAACATGCCTTAAAAGTTAGTTTCCATTTTTTTACTTTTTCCCCAATTTCAGATATTTTGGCATAATGCGAACTAATGGTTAACAACTCATTCTTGTAATTATTATGCTCGGTTTGCATATCCTCTAAGTCACCGGAACGAAGCCGAAAATCCAAAAATTTTTTGAGCGTAGGTTCTTTAGTGTTTTCCCAAAAAACTATATAATTATAAATCGCAGATTAAGAACGGGAAACCCATAAAGCGTTACATGTTGCATCACTTTCCTTACCACGGTAAAACAAATCGTTAAGACACTCAGGTGTTAAATCCATTTTGGAGAAGTTAGTATTTTCTTTGTTTATTCAAATAGTTAATCCAAAAAGCGTGTTTAGACGCGTTCATTTATTTATTCCCCTTGTTGATCATCTCAAATTAATCACTATTTTGGTGTCACAATACTATAAAGTCAAATGACCTAAATGGTTAGCAATAATAACTATGAAAGAAAATGAATAATTAAATACTATTTTTAATTTAACATATGTTTTTTCTTTTTATTTATTAATAATTAGCACAACAAATTATAATTAATAAAATTTTTGTTGAATGGTAAATAAAGAAAATTTTGACATATAATATTATTAACCAACACCTCAAGTAATAATCATCTGAAGCAATAATTCGTGAATGCGAGACATAATTCGTGATTCAAAGCATACATTTGTGATGAATGACTAAATTTTGATTCCTGAAATTCTGGTAATACCAATGTTCACTTTGTCTGGTTTTGTTGCAGCATGCTCCATATATTAAATTACAACTAATTATATTTTATAATTTAAGTTGTAGTTAATTGCAACTTATATTTTAAGTTGTAACTAATTATATCTTATACTTTAAGTTGTGACTAATTATATCTATTTTTTAAATTATGATGTAATTTAAATTATAACAAATTATAACAAATATTACAATAAAATTATAAAATTTTATAATTATAACATTATTAAATTAAGTAGTATAAAAATAGGCTTTTTGGCACATTTTCAACTAGGTGGTCTAAATGTGTCCAGAATGTTATTCTGAATATCAAAAATTATACACATAGCGTAAACCCATTGTTATCATACTTGTGTCCTTAAGGAAATCATTTTGCTTTCTTGA